CGGCTTGGCCCCCCATTCTTCGACAGTTCGAGGGCTGGTCTCGGGGGCGACGTATCCCTCCAGCCTGAAGGCACCTCAGCAGCTTCACATGCAGGTCATCCACGTTCCCACCTTGTTCGTATGCCGGCGCGGCCAGACTGTCATCGTCGCGTTCAGATGCGCACTTTTCATGATCTTGACCATCCCCGCGAGAGTCTCGAAGGCTGGCCGCCCTGCCGGGCGGCGGCGCTTGGAATCCTGATCTCTGTCTCGTGCACCCCCCGACTGGCGCCGGCGACGAAGTCGCCGGGCGCCGGCCGGTCAGGTCACAGCTGCCCAGGGGCATTGGACCCGCCTCAACAGATCTTCCCGAATGGGCAGGTCAGTCCAGCCAGGTGCCTCCAGCATTGTCGCTTCTCCTTGCCCTTGCCGCCCCCCGTCGACTTGCCCATGTCGTTGCTTCGTCCAGGTGCGGAATTATTCTTGACAGTCTGCGCCGCTGCAGACATCTGCTCCAGGCTACGCGCGCAGGGAAGAGTCTTGCCGATCTTGTCCACGCGCGCCTCGTCCTTGTCACGGGAGAGCTTCGTCCTCGATGGCCTGTCTGTGCTCGCAAGGACACTTGTCGGACGACAACGGGCAAGCGCCGCGGCTGCGTGCATAGCATGGCCTGTTCTTCTTGGAGTTGACGCTGGAAGCGCGGCTCCGCGATCGATCCCAGTCCTGGCTGCCGCCCTTGGATCGGTCGGCGGGGCGCTCCTCGCCTCGCTCCTGCCGCGCTCTTTCTCTTTCCCCTGGTCCGCCTCCCTTCTCTCTGCCCTTCTTCTTCTGTCCGCTGCTCTTGCCGCCGTCCTTGCTGGCCAGAGCTGGCGCGGCTGGTCCGGGGGAAGCAGGGTCGCCGCTTCCTGTCGAGCGCAGGCGTCGGCGCTGAGCTCGGGATCATGGGCGCTTGCCCTGGTGGAACTTGCGGGGAAGAAAAGACTTCTTGAGGCGGCCGCCCTTCTCGTGGAGGTCATGTCCGCCCTTGCTGGCGCCCCCGCCCCCTCCACCACTGCTCGCGCCTCCCGCGGGGAGGCCGCGGGCATTCAGCGTTCTCCGCTGTTTCTGGCGCCTGATCTGCCCGGGCCCCTCGCGCGTGAAATCGGTGACCTTCGACGGCAGCCGCTCGTGAGTGTTCATTCCTGCACCGCGCTCGTCGACGCAGTGATCGCGGGTCACCGGGGCGCATGGCATGCAAGGGCACTACTGCATCTGCCGATGAAAACACTCCTGCGTAGCAGGGCGGAAGGAGTCATTCAATTCCTTCATCTCGCTGAGCGCCCCACCCCCACTCGTCATAGAAATGGGACAGGTCGCCATCTGCTTTCTTGCCCGCGCCGCGAATCCTCATCTCCATAGGGTCCGTGCACGTGCGCGCCTGACCGTGATCCTGACGGCCGGTGGCTTGCGCGGAGATGTCTGACCGCTTTACCTCGCCCGCTGAGTGACGGAAATGAGACGACGGTTGTCGATCTCTGGTTATCTTGTTGACTTTAGCCATGAGATCCGCTGTAATCATTAGGTCAAGCCGGACCCCGTGGCCAAATCCCTCCAACTCGTCTGCCTCAGCGTTCTTGAGATCGAACGCGCCCGTTATCCAACCGTCTGCTTTCCACGCAGGTTGGCGACGCCGACGCCGCAATCCTGTCCGCGTTGCGCTGCCATCTCTTGTTGTTGGCGGAGTCGGGTACCCCTTCCAAGACTACTTACTCGGTTTTACCGGCATCGCCCCAATGCTGCGCGGTGGCAGAAACCGCGTCCATCAAGGGGGCAGGGGCCCCACCGCCCCCGCCGCCTCCTGGCGGGCCGCCATCGGGCGGTTCTCCGGGCGGTTCTCCGCTGCGCCGACGCCGGCGATCAGGATCGTCGCCCCCTCACTAATCGGGGTTTTGGCTATCCTCGTCACCTGGACAATGATCCTCATCGCCCTCATCGTCGTCGCCGCCATCTCCGCCGTCGTCGTCTGGAGGACTCGAGCCTGGATGCTTCGGCGCTGGCAACTTCTTCGGGGGGGTCGGTTCACCTCTCTTGTCTCTTTGCTTGGAGATACTGGAAAAGCCCCTCGGCCCCAGCGGTGCGCATCCCAGGAAAGAGGTTTCAAGACGAACTCGCGCTCGCTCAGCGTCGGCCTCTATATGCCTCTGCAACTAGCCTCGTTCTCAGCCTTCCTCTCCTTCTCCAAGGTATGCCGTTGCGCCGCGGCCGCAGCCTCGGCTCGCTGTTCGCGCATCGCCTGAATCTTCGCCTTGCGCTCGGCCTGTGCCCTGGCGTGGCCCTCTTCCTTCTGCGTCGCTCGTTCGAGCATTTCCTCGAGTCTCTTATTTTCGGCTCTTGCGGCCTGTTCGAACTCGAGCAGCCCCTTTGGCTCAGTGCTCTCCGCCCAGCGCTCATCGCGGCCAGGGGCGCGTCCGCGGGCGGGCGCCGGCAGCGGCGGGCAGGCAAATGGGCCAGCCCCTGGCGCGGAGGAAGCGGCGATCCGTTCCTCGAGCTTCTTTCGCGCCATGCGTTCCTCGCCCTCTTCTCTCCGGTGCCTTCCCACCGCTGCGCTGTCCCTCCGCGTCGTCTCATAGTCAGCGCGGCGCGCGCGCGTCTCGTCCGCCGGGGCGTGGCGATGACTGCCGATGCCCCTATCGCACGAACTGCAGTCGTGGGGTGCCGTCGCCCGCGCAATGGCGGCGCGCGCCTCACCTCGGCGCGGCCGCCCCCCCCCCGCCGCGGGCGGCGCCGGCGGCGGGGGGCTGCGCGGCGCAGTCGACCCGGCCCCCGCTGGCGCCGCCGAGGACATCCCACTCGGGTTCTCTTTGAGGGTTCGTTAAGCTTGCGATGCAGATCGCCCCATCCAGCTTCGCGGCTCTTCATCGCCCGCGCGGCCTTCTGCTCCGCTATTCGAACGCTGGCGATGATTTTCTCCTCGGCGCGCGCTTGGATCAGCTGCGCCTCTTCCCTGGCGCGTCGGACTTCGGCGGCGGGGCGAGCGTGGATCTCGCTGGCGGCGGCGCGGTCTACCTCGGACTGCTCGGCGGCGGCGGCTGCCTCTGCGGCGCTGCGCCAAACGCGCGATCCGATCTTCTGCTGCCCGACGCCCCCTCGGCCGCTTGCGACTTAGTCGTGGGCGGCTTGCGACGCAGTCGCGTGCTGACCCTCGCAGCCCCCCCGGACGACGCGCCCAGCTTCTTCTGCGCGGTGCTTATCCTGGAGTTGCGGATGGTGTTCGGACGCAGCAGTTGCCTCCAGCCCGTTGGAAAGTCCCCGCATCTCCGCAGTCGCCACGATGGCCTGCTCGACCGCCGCTGCCTGCTGCCCCCCCCAAGCTCCACGGCGTTCGCCATGGCCTCGCTGCCCCGCTCCGCCTCGCGGCCCCGCTCCATTTGAAGAGCAGCGGCAGCCTGTTGCTGTAGCTCTGACTGTCGAAGTTGCTCGCGCATCTCGGCGACTTCTTTCTTTGGCATCCTCGATCTCGAGCCTTTTCTTCTCCTCGGCCTCGCGGCTCTCGTTCGCGCGCAAATCTGCGCAGTCGCGCGATGCTGGGGCGCGGCGCGTCGGGCACGTGAAATCCAAGTGGCAGAGGCCGCAGAGATCAGAGCGCCCATGACAGACCGGCCTCTGACATTGGCATAGCGCACCAGGACACCGAGTCTCAGGAATCACGGCAAATCGTGGCCCAAGGTGAGCACGCTTCGCGGCGATGCGCATGCTGAACGCACTCGACCGACCTGATAGGTTCGACGAGCCGGACGCCTCCCAACGCGGCCTCGGGGCTCTCGGCTCGCCCCTTTTCCGAGCTCCTCTTGCGGGGAGAGCGGGCCCGCGGGTCGGGCGCCTCGGGCGTTGCGTTCGAAGGTCGATGGCCTGGCTGAACAGGATGGGGGCGAGACTCGGGCGCATAGCTTCTGGGCCCTCCCACGGAGCATGCACGGGCCCGTCCTCGGGAATGCCTTCGGACCTCTTCCGCTTAATGAGCGGTGACGTCACTGAAAGGATGACCGTCTCGCGCCTTTGCTTGCAGGTGGCCCTGACTGAGCTGCCCGCGAGCTGGTCCCCCATGCTATCCTCGAGACCCCGTCCTAGCGAGTCGTCGGAAGGGATCGCAGCCTCCTCGCCATCGGCGAGGGGCACCTGCGTGGGAAGCGGGTCCTCGGCCAGCGGAACAGGAGCACTGATGCCATAAGCCTCAGCTTCCCCTCCCCGCGGCAAGCGGACGCTTCCATAGACTCGGCCTCGGCGTCGACTTGCGGGATAATTCCCCTCTGACGACGTGGATTCCACGCCCTGCTCGCCGTCCGAAAGGTCGATGGGAACGTCGGGTTGGCCAGCAAGTGGTAGCGGCAGCTGCTCGCCGCGCTCGTGCCAGTCGGGCTCCTTGTCTTCAGTGGCCTTCGGGCTGTCCGGGCGGCGCTCATCGCCGAGGGAAATATTTCAGCTGATCCTTGGATGAGGGCGTTGACTTTGCCCCCCGACATCGTCCGTGGAAACAGCCCCAGGAACGTTCATGCAACAGCCGTGGCATTGGTCTTCTTTGTTTCGTACATCATCCACTGAAGGCGGAAACATCGCTTCCCCATCTGGTGGTACCGCTGTCGTCGACGATAGAACCTTCGGCGGATAACCGCTGGTTTGCCAGTTCTCCGTCCGGATGGGAGGAGCTTGCGCAGCCCGATTAAACGGCAAAGCGCGCACTTGTTATTCATGGTGACCTTCTTCTTGTAATAGTCTCATCTTCAAGTCTAAGCGATGTATGGGAGACATAATTATTATTCCTGCCGTGGCTTAATATGGTGTTGTGCCGTTGAAACATGGCGAAAATCACGCTACTAGGGGGAAGGCCGACCGGCCAGCCGGCCGGCGGGCGCGCGCGATGGTCGGCCCGCGCATTTTCGGCGATCGAAACCATAACAGCTTCGATATGTCATCGATGTTTGGCGGCGGCGGGACAGCGATGCTGAGGCAATGCAAGGGTGTGACTGAATCGACTCGGAAGGCTCCTGCCAGCCCTCCAGGAACGTCAACAGGGCGTCGCGCAAGGCCTCCTCGTCCTGCACGGGGGGGGGGGTCAGCGTTGGAGCTCGCAGCGAGGCGGCTTCTCCTCCTCCTCATCCTTCTCTTCCACCTCCTCCTCCTCCTCCTCCTCTTCCTCCTCCTCCGATTCCGCCTCCCTCGACCCTCTTCCCGCCTCCCTCCTCTCCACTCCTCCCTCCCCCTCCCCCCTTTCTCCTCCTTTTTTTCTCCTCCTCCTTCTCCCCGGCTTCCCTCCCACTTATCCTCCCTCCTCCTTCTCCTCCTCCCCCTCCTCCCTCCTCCTCTCCGCCGGCATGTCCCCACTGGCGCCAAGCCCTCGTGGGGAGGGGGGAGTGATGTCAATAACAAGGGAGAATGCGGATAAGAGGAAATTGAACTCAAGAGCTCGTTGCTCCACTGGCAACGTAAATCTACATTCAATCCAGTAGAACCATGGAGCTGCCATGATTTTGCATATGCCAAGGCTTCCCATACTGCTGAACATTATGTTCAACACGTGCGCTGATCAGGCTCTTTTGCGTGAGTGCCAGGTCGAGTAATTCGCCTGTCATGTGCTCGGGATTGTGGTGCTTGTGTCTGGGATGCTGCCATTGGGATGCTTCCTGTGTGCAAGCGGAAGGACCATGATGTCCACGATGAGGAGGAGGAGGGAGACGAACGCAACTGGAAGCGAAAAGGAAGCGCACGATACGAGCTAGCAGCAATGTGGGATATACTGGACAGGCCCTCCTCCCTGCTGCAAGCAACGTCGTGTCCCTTGTTTGCCCTTTGTTTCCTTCTAATCACCCTCTTGATTCGCCGCACCTCTCCTCCTTGCTGTTCGACATCCCCACTCTTGGCGGTGTCGGTGGGGGGAGGGCGGGGTGGGGGGCTCTTGGAGCCTTTGAAAAGCCTTTGTGCCCCCTAGGGGGCGCCTCAGGACTGCCAAGGAGGCATCTTGGAGCTTCACAGGGGGTATAGATCGTGGTGTTGATGCATCCAGAACCATTGTTGAAGCCTCTGGGGCCTCTCAGCTACTTGCTTTGCGAAGTGCTCAGGCGCGAGAATGCCGACGTGGAATTCGAAAAAGCATTCACCGTTTGGAAGCGTGAGTACGGGGACTGTTTCCTGAGGCGTGAGGGGTCAATGAAAATTGAATCCTCGAGGAAACGCACGCATCCAAGAGCTTTAAACTGCCAATGCATCACCACACGTGTCAACACATTAAGCAATTCCAGGCATCAAATGCGTACAAGCTCACAGCGCTCTAAGCGTAGCACAACATACATGATGTAACCGTACGCGTATTGAAGCTCCAACGTTCACATGCGAATCGCTTATGTCGACCACCTGAAAACCCGACACCCATCGTTGCAGTAGTAGTGCCAACAGAGAAATCAATCATAGCACGCACGTCGTATCCGAACCATGAGTAGTTAGTCAACTTCTTGTACCTGTAACAACAACATTCGTATCCAACGCCATGCCAACATCGCTTTCCAGATCTACTTCGCGCGTTGCATGTCCACCTCTGGAATGCAGACGGATACAGATGGAGCCAATCATCATGATCTTCGATAAGAATGCACGGCCCTTGAGCGTCGAAGCTGCAACACTTAGCCAACGAAGGAGGCTGGATAAATGTGCAGGGGGCAAATCAGAGACGCACGCATTCCTTGCCAAATCATCTCATTCTCATCGAGAGCCCCAACCGCGGAGACATGGTGGCGACCAACATTTGAGCAATCTCGTAGGCGATATCCACGAACGCGTGCGAGCAACAATGTATCAACAAGGAGGTCGAAACGATGGACGCGAAACATCATGCACACACGAGCAAATGTAATCGGCAAGAGCTCGACTAACAACGACAGTCAAGGATCGAGCACAGGCTCGCGAGAGGCGCGGTCCTCTGTGAAGCTGTCCGAGGGCAGGCTACCGAAGAACTCGTCCCTGGTCATGGGGGTGTCCTCGGGAGAACCCCCCAGGAAGAGTGCTCCTCACATTCGTCCCAAGTCTGCCAGAAAAACAGATGGCAAAACATAGCATGTCGCGGGGGGGGTCCAGCGCAGATCCAAGAAATCAGCGCGAGTATTCCAACCTTCATGAATATGTTGTTGCTCTTCCTCGATCGCATCCTCTTACACAGCCATCTATTCACAATCGCCCTTCGCCACTCTTACTTCTCCCCATCCCAAAAAAGGAAAACCCACGGCAACCGGACTCAGAATCTGGCGCTACCGCCTCCGCCGCGTGCCGTTAAGGACAGCTGGCCTTGGCATCAGCGTGCCCGAATGGGTGCAGTCGAATGCTGTGTAACTGTGTAACGTAGTTTGGGACCGCATGGGCGCGCACTTGGTCAAAAATGGCGCATCAAAACGGTTATGTGATTCATTGCCCCGCACCTGACAATTGCCGGATCTCCACGCACCCAACATGTGCCTGAACCCGCCTTAGGTGCACACGCAAGCTCTGGTGCACCCCCTTCACCCTTCCTACAACCACTCCCCTCCTCCACCGCCTCCCCTGAGGGGGAACGATAGGAAAGGGGAGCGGCTCAAGCGGGGGGGGGAAGCATCGACCTGGAATCGGCGATGCATCGCCGATTGATCGGCGATAGACCCCCGATAGCACGTTCGCAAGCTCCTGGGCGGAGCGCGGTCCCAGGCCCCCATCGGCGATGAATGGGCGATCTAGGGGCCGATGCAGTCCCCCTGCGCCTATCCCTCCCTTGCATTGACATTGCCTCTTGGCTTTCGGGTAGTAGCTCGGCTCTCCAGCGGCCGTTCGGGACGTTTCCGGCGCCCGGAACGCTCTTGGCGAGGCGCGGGTGCTGGAGAGCACACCGAGGCTGGGAAGCCGCCGAGAACCGACGGAAACGTCAGAAAATCCCGCACCTCGAAGCTGCCTACACTCTTTTCCTCACACCTCTCGCCTCCCCCCTCCTCCCTGTCTCCCATCCTCTCACCGCTCCCCTTCTGGCACCTCTACCCTCGCCCCCCCCCCCCCCCCCCCCCCCTCCGGCGAGCACGCGGAGGGCTGGCGCTCTCCCAGTCTCGACATGGCCTCCCCTCGCCGCCCGCTGCTCTGCCAGAGCCCGATGTGTCAGACGCGCCTCGGTAGCTGGACCGCCGTGCGACGACCTTCCGCGGACTTGAAACCCGAGCAGAGCTCCAAAAGTTTATGATCACGCGGTGGCCTCTTAATCTCGCCCTTCCCTGCCCTCTGAGGCCCCCTGCCTCCTCCTCCCCTCCCTTCCATGACCGCGCGCAGGCCAGGGAGCGGATCGAAGGAGAGGCGCCCCTCCCGAGAGGGCAGGGGCGGGGGGCTCGGCTCGAAGGGCCATCCCTCCGCCTTCCGAGGGGATCTACATCGGAGGCCTCCGCCTTCTGCTCAGGAACCGCCTCCGCCTCCCCAGATCAGGACGAGCATGATGTCATGGTGCGATCGCCTCAGGATTTCGGAAACACCTAGCGGCGCTAGCGGCCAGGATTTCCGGAGCACCTAGCGGTGCTAGCGGCCCTCGTTTCTGGAGCCCGTGTGGAGCCAAAGAAGCCCGGGGAGTCCGTGAAATCTTGCTGCGTGCCGTTCTCATGACTTCTTGCTGCTCTGACAGATGGCCGCCCGCCCTCGCCCAGCCCCGCCGCCGAATCTCCACCCTCTCCCTCTCCCATCAGGTGGGCCTGCGGCTCCACTGCGGGGCGAGGCTGCCAGCAACACTCTGCGTCGGGAAACAAAAACAAAATCAACGATGGGGAACCAATCGGCGTGTCCCTGCTGAAAAAAAACACCAAAAGCCTTCGGAGAAAACCGGAGGAGCAACACGCTGGCGGAGACGACTCCTCGAAAGGCCCGGGTGCCTGCGAGAGCTGCCATCCCTCCCCCCTCAACCCACAGCCGTGAGGTTCCGACCTTTCCCTGTCCGCCCTCTACCTCGACGCGAAGCAAGCGGGTCCTGGCGGAAGCGGGTCCCGAACCCTGGGCGCTCTCCTCCAGGATCGGCTGACCCTCTCATCCCAAGCCGCTTTCTGCTGGTCCCCGGGGCCCGTGGAGGGCCGAAAGCGGGAGAGCCACCAGGACAAAATTCCCTCAAGACTCCTATCCTGCATGGCGACTCCCCTGTCGTAACACGAAGATGCGGGGAGACGATGCGGGGGACAGGCGAGGGAACGTCGACTTGGACCTGGAATCGACGATGCATCGCCGATAGATCGGCGATCCCTCGTTTATGAAACCGCACCAGCCTGGGCGGAGTGGGACACCCAGGCCCCCATCGGCGATCAAAGGGCGATTGGGGTCGATGCGTCCCCCCCCCCCGAGCCTATCGCCCCCCCCTCTGAAGTTGCCTCTTGGCTTTCGTGTCATAGCCCGCCTCTCCGGCGGCCGTTCGGGGAATTTCGGGTACCCCTGGAACGCTCTCGGCGAGGCGCAGCTGCTGGAGAGCACCCTGAGGGTGGAAGGCCGCCGTGAACCGCCGAAACCGCTTGAAGCCTCGAGGGCGAACTCCTCTCGTCTCTCCCCCAGAGCCAGTCGCATCCCTGACGCTGCCCCCGAGAAGAGCCACAGTCCTTGGGCCGCCCAGCATCCGCGGCCCCAGAGTCTCTCTTTCTGACCTGCCAGGCTCCGCTCTTGGCGTCTTTGTTGACCTGGCCCGCGTGCCCTCCCTCTGAGCAGAGAGGGGGGCGGAGCAGGACGACGAGCAAGGAGGGACGACATGAACCGAAGCAGGAGGGGGAATGTGCGCCAAGAGGGCGGAAGATGAAGAGTAGCAGAACGAGGAGAAGAAGGAGGAGGACAAAGAATAGTAATAATTCGCCGGCCCAACGGGCCAAAGGCGTGCTAAGATCTCCGATAACTACTTAACAATATTTCTAGTTCGCGCGCGCGGGGCGGCCCCTGGGGGGGCCCCGGGCGAAAAGTACCCCGGGGAGGTCCCGGGACACTCCCGGCAGACTCGGGTCAGAGATGGTGTTCCTCCTGGGTGCGGCCTTCCACGCTCCCCGGAGCGCGCCAAGAGGGCCCCAACAAGAATCCAAGACGGTCCAAGAAGGTTCCGAATCACCGAACGATCGGCCCAAGACGCCCAACCCGGCCTCAAGACGACCCAAGAAGCTTCCAAGACGTCCCAAGAGAACCCCGACCCTTTCCAAGAGAGCCCCCAGAGCGCCAAAACCATTGATTTCCCTTGGGTTCTGCAAGGTAATTTGCCTCCTCGCCTTTTCGCGTTGCCGACGCTCCAAGACGGCCCAAGAAGCCTCCAAGACCACCCCAAGACGGCCCAAGAGGCCTCCAATAGAGGCCCACGACCGTCCGAGAGGGCCCCACGACAGCCCACGAGGCGCCCGAGACGGTCCAAGAGGACCACAACAGGGCCCCAAGTGGGGCCCAACATGGAGACCACTAACTGAGAATCCGAGCCTTCCGCTCCAAGAGGCTCCAAGAGGCCCCAAAAGGCGACAAGGGGCCCGAAAGAGACCCCAAGAGGCTCGACAACGACTCCCAAGAGTCTCCAAGAAGCCCTCGAGAGGCATCCAACGAGATCCCAATGAACGTCCACGAAGCCTCAGAGCGCCAAAACCATTGATTTCCATAAGGGTGTTTCAAGGTTTTTGGCTTCCTCGCCTTTTCGCGTTTCCGACGCTCCAAGACGGCCCAAGAAGCCTCCAAGACCACCCCAAGAAGCCCCAAGAGGCCTCCAAGAGAGGCCCACGACCGTCCGAGAGGGCCCCACGACAGCCCAAGAGGCGCCCGAGACGGTCCAAAAGGACACCAAGAGGGCCCCAAGAGAGGCCCAAGATGGAGACCACGAGCCGAAAATCCGAGCCTTCCGCTCCAAGAGGCCTCCTGGACGCCCCAAGAGGCTCATAAGAGGCCCCAACAAGCGACAAGGGGCCCGAAAGAGACCCCAAGAGGCTCGACAACGTCTGCCAAGAGTCTCCAAGAACACTTTCGAGAGGCATCCAACGATATCCCAATGAACGTCCACGAAGCCTCAGAGATCCAACGCCACTAATTTCCCTTAGGTTGTGCGAGGTCGTTTGCCTTTTCGCCTTTTCGCCTTTCCGACGCTCCAAGACGGCCTACGAAACCTCCAAAACCACCCCAAGACGGCCCAAGAGGCCTCCAAGAGAGCCCCAAGACCGCCCAAGAGGGCCCCACGACAGCCCAAGAGGCGCCCGAGACGGCCCAAAAGGACACCAAGAGGGCCCCAAGAGGGCCCCAACATGGAGACCACGAACTGAGAATCCGAGCCTTCCGCTCCAAGGGGCCTCCTGGAGGCCCCAAGAGGCCCCCAAGAGGCCCCAATGGGGGAACCGCATGCGGGCGGTGCCACTGGGACCTTCGGTTGAGCTCCCTAATTAAAGCGCTGCCCTGGGTGGGGAAACCGCATGCGGGCTGTGCCACTGGGACCCTCGGTGGAGCTCCCTATGGGGCTACGAAACGCTGCCCTGGGTGGGGGAACCGCATGCGGGCTGTGCTACTGGGGCCTGCGGTTGAGCGTCCTATGGGGCCACGAAGCGTTGCCCTGGATGGGGGAGCCGCATGCGGGCTGTGCCAGTGGGACCTTCGGTGGAGCTCCCTATGGTGCTACGAAGCGCTGCCTTGGGTGGGGGAACCGCATGCGGGCTGTGCCACTGGGACCTTTTTGTGGAGCTCCTTATGGGGCCACGAAGCGCTGCCCTGGGTGGGGGAACCGCGTGCGGGCTGTGCCACTGGGACCTTCGGTGGAGCTTCCTATGGGGCCGCGCTGTCCTGGGTGTGGGAACCGCATGCGGGCTGTGCCACTGGGATCTTCGGTGGAGCTCCCTATCGGGTTACGAAACGTGTGAGAGGTGTGCCGAGAGCAAAAGCAAGGAGGGGGAGGAGGGAGGAGGGGGGGAGGAGGAGAGGGGGAGGTGGGACGCAGGGCGCTCTCTCTTCAAAACGAGGACCCAACACCACAGGATGGTTGGGAATTAACGAGTGTCAGCAAGGTAAGGGGACTATGTGCGATGAGCTCCCTAGCGCCGGCCCAGAACAGGTCAGTGCTAAGCTATCGTCGCGGATGATTCGGCGCATTCTTTGCATGCCAATCGTCTTTACCTCGCGAGCAAGACCCAGTCTCTGTGAACGTCTTGCACGGTTTGTCTTTCCCTTTTCTTCTGCCTTTACCTCGGCTTTCCCGCGACCTTTGCTCGAATCCCTACTCCTTGGGATATTAGCTGGAGTCGCTTCTGCAGCATTCGCTGCCGCGGAATCAGCTTGCCGAGTAGTTCTCTGATATCCTAGAGACTTACCAGCCCTAAGCTGTGCCTCTTCAAACTTTTCACGTTTGATCTTTTCTGCGTCGGTCAAGCCTTTGCGCCGCCTATAACAGCCACCCTGAGGGCCCTTGCAGTCTCGAGGATCACGTGACCATGCATAACAGACCATATTGCTCTGTCGTTCTTTTGAAGCTTCCGACTGGGTCCTCGTCCGCGATTGCGTCGCGTTCGAATTGCCGAACTTGTTCGATGGTATTGAACAGCGATGCCGGTCTTTTCCTCTTGGGCATCCTGCTCGCGGATCGATTTTTCCCACCGTTGCGATCGCTCTTTCTGCCGACACTACGATTGTCACTGCTCGCCCCCAGCTGTGCCGGCGCGGCGGGTGCCTTAGGCTTCTTATGATTGTAAGGACAACCTTGACCTGCTCCTGGACAATTCTTCGCTTGTCTCATGAATGTACAGGTCGTCTCACTTTTCGTCCGTCCACTTGCCAACTTATCCGTGGGCAATCCTAGTCGTTGAATCGTCGCTGCCATGGCAAAGGCCCTTTGTCCATCTCCGCCGCCCTCAATGTTTCCGCCTGACAGCCGAGGTTGCTTACTCCTGGAATTGAAAGTGGATTCACGTTCCGAAATGGCCCACTGTTCTCTGTCTCGCATCATAAGAGACTCGACCTGAAGCAGTAGCCATTGATAAGTTCCCATTCCCATGCCTGTAGAATCGGTAAACAAATCATACCATTGCATGACAGAGTGAAGCCTGGGAGCCTGTCGTATCTGTTCATTGAAATGCGCATGCATCGAAGCCTTCATTTCATCCGATGGCTCGCCTTTCCAACGCGGTCGTTACCTGTGCCCTGGGCGCCAGGCACGTTCTGAGGTCTCCATGTCTCGTCATCCTCGTCCTGGTGGCCTGACGTTTTCTCCCGCGCACATTCATCGCGGCGCTCAACACCCGAATCCGGATGAGCACCGCATGTGCGTTTCAGGCAACTCTTGCATGCATCGGACGAAGGTCGCATGCAAATGTGACACGTCTGATTCGAGGTGCCAGGTCGCGCACTTGTTCGCAACATACTTGTTTTCCGACCCAGACGAGCAATAGTTGGAATATGAGGTGGCTCAACGTGCGTCGGCTGCGCCGGTGTTGAGTTAACCTCTTTTCCACTCGTCGCTGCTCAAGATCAGACGTCAACCGTATGTTTTCTTCGCTTACGGCCCGATTTGCAAGGGCGTTGTTCCCTACCTAGGCTCTGCCTAGAAGGGTTCTTAGTCTGTTAGCTTACAGGGGCCGGGCAGAGCAACTCGCCCCGGGCGGCCCCCCCGGCATCCGCCCCGCGGTTCCCCCAGTTGCGTCCCCTTAGCTTAGCGTTGTTTATCTCATCTTAGCTTAGCTTATTTCATCTTGGTCTAGCTTAGCTTCATCTTAGCTCAGGTTGATCTTAGCTTAGCTTACCTTCATCTGAGCCTCGCTGAGTTTTAGCATATCAGAGCACAGCATAGCGCAGCACAGCATATCAAAGCATAGCCCATCATAGCATAGCATAGCGCAGCATAACATAGCATAGCATTGCACAGCGCAGCACAGCACAGCATAGCGCAGCATAGCATAGCATAGCATCGCATAGCATAGCGCAGCATGGCACGGCATAGCATAGCAACTACTGCTGCTTTCCTAGGGGCTCCAACTTCTAGGTAGGGTCGCACTGTAATAATTTCTTATATGTTCCTCTGCTTGCCGCTTCAACCGGTACAAGGCACCGACCATCTTATTATGGTCACCCGCTCTGGTTGCCTGGGTTTTCTGTTCCTGTTCTCTAAGGGCTCGCAGCGCTTCTGATGTCACTCAATCGGCCTCAACTCTAGCAGCTTCGAGCTGATTTCGGAGCTCCTGAATTTCTCGTGTTGCCTTTTCTCGAGCCTCTCACTCTCCTTCCCGCCACGCAGCATCAGCCATCTCTCTGTATGCAGTTTGTTATCTTTCTGCTTTCTGTTGAGAGTCGATCGCCAGTTTTTCTGCTATTCTGAATTCTCAACTGCCCGCGCCCCTCCTGAGCGAGGCGCCGATTTGCTTCATCCGCAACGCCTGCTGCAAAGGCCCCGGCATTCTGTATCAGCTTGTGCGCATCTCCAGCAACGATGGTTTTCTCATGCTCCATCCTCTGCGCAATCACTTGCTGTTCGGCACCAGAAGTTGCAATTCGACGCTGGGTCTCTTCGGTCGCCTGCCCATTACCTTGCACCTCAGAAATGATTTGTTGCACGTGCGCACTTGCGCCCCTCAGTTGCTCTCGATCTTGTCTATTTCTTTCAGTCCATTCCTGGATCGCAAGATGGTGACAATGATGCTCTTCCATAGTGATGCAATCATTACAGAGCCACGCTAGGCTACACTTGGGG